TGTCACTTCCACAAAAAAACCGGAAACATCACTGTTATGATATTATGATGACATATTCACCTCTCAAAAAAGTTTTTATGAAATTAGTTTTTGGTAAATCGTTCAGATGTATGTGTTGCCAAGCGGCAACACTGTGCAATAGTGGAATGACATTATTACAATAGTTTAGCTAGCTAGCAAGGTCAGCTGCAATCTGTTAAGCTGTAACAATAACAACATTAATACTAGTGATATAATGTTGATTAATCATATGTTAATGGCATTTGTATTATTGTATTACTCCTGGCTGGTGGAACGATCTTCCCACCCCTATCCGGAATGCTGAATCCCTGACAATTTTCAAGCGACAGCTGAAAACTCATCTCTTTCGAAGCTACTTGACTTCATCATAAAAACAAAGTTTCTCTCTCTTTATTTATTCCTTCTCTTTCTAGCTTGTACTTATTTGAACAATGTCTAAGAACTTGGTATTACAACCACTTCTTGTGTCTGTTTGCCTCTTTAAGAAGAATCGCTTTATGTATCCCCCAATTGTAAGTCGCTTTGGATAAAAGCGTCTGCTAAATGACAATGTAAATGTAAATGTATTATGGATATAATCAGGTTGAAATGGCAATTTTACATTTGATTAAATATGAATACAGGTAACATTACATCAGTGAGCACAGCCATATTCTATGGCAAGGTAAAGAAGAAAAGGGCAGAACTGGCTCTTCCTGCAGATGAAAAACTGCTTTGTGAAGTTTCATACTTAAAAAAGGTGATCTATGGGGGGATGGGGGGCCTAATGTTCATAGTCTTCCTCTCATAAGATTGTGTAATGCTGAATTTTCATGAACTGCAATGTTTTTTGGTTTTATGTCAATGTTTTATGATACATGATATACAGTATTGTATTTGTTTTAACTGTATACATTTGCGATTTAAATAATATTCATGAAAAATGTAATGAAATTTTAAAATTATAAATCATTATTCAGCAAAAAAGAATGGAATAAATAAAAGCACAAGTTGTTGGAAAGTATGTATAAGGTGTCTGTGTCAAAGCTTATAATAGCACCAATTGAATCAACACAAACAACATTTCTGAGGAAAAATATTAACTATAAGTAAACTTACACTTATTCTAAGTTAGATCCACTATTGTAGGCTGTTACTGTATGGCAACATATCATAAAGTACCTTAAAATAATATTTTTTTTCCAAATTGTTTTTTTTACAGCACTTCAAGTTAAGCCATTCTTAGAAAAGAAAATGAGTCAAATATTTTTTTATATAGGTCTATCATAATGCGTGCGGTAGAGGGTTAAGAAAAATATGTTATGTTTATATAATAAATATATTTATATATAATATAAATTGTGTGAATATAAATATATACATGTAAATACATGTCAATATTTTCAAAATATATACTGTACTGTATGTGTGTGTATTTATATATACATAATAAATATACACAGGACAATATCTATGGTGTGTAACTGTTGATCAATTTGAACATTCCAGTTATTATTGCAACTAATAGAGGAGCAATTTTTGTGTAAGAGATTATATTAATATAATCATAGAAGAAAAAAACAAATCTTACTGGAATGCTGTTAAAACGATTACAGTGATTGTGTATATTTACCTCAAGAGAGTGTATATTGTTATGTCTTAATTTGTACTTACAATAAACTCAGAATGTGCTTCATTCAATCATTTGTCATCTATAGAGTTAAAATATTGCTAAGTTTAATTTCCTTTTTTATGTGTTGTGCATATGTACAAACTAATGCTGTGTTATTTCATTTACAAATCCATTTTTAAAATGTAGCAACATTTTTCCTCTAAAATGCATGTCATCCTGAAATGTCTATATTCATAACTAAAGAAACAAAATCATGTACAATGATCATTATATTATGGCAGAATGTAAAACACGTCGTGTTTTCGTAATCCTCCATTTCTCAACAAGGAAGTTAATCTTGCTCAAAGAAAAAATGAAACTCATTGTCTTTTGTGCTCGTTTAATTATGACTGTTTCTTTGATGTCTAATGTTAAATTCACTGTCATGTACATTGAAGAAATAAGTGCTGTAGGTCAGAAAGATCTTGGTTACTGTAGGTTAGACACGTATACAATAAGTGTGTGTAACTACTGATGCATATGGACAGTGCTACTTAAAAGACTTAGGCTGAAAATGCTACTGAGTCATTTGTTTTGAACCAGTGATTCAGGGGGCATATCAAACTAGTTAATAGTCTTTTATCAGAGGTGTAAATAATTAGAGTAAATGTAATTAGTTACTGTACTTGAGTATCTTTTTGGGTACTTTGTAGTTGTACTGAGTAACAAAGATATTAGCAACTTTTACTCTTTACTTCATTACATTTTTGAATGAGTATCTGTATCTGTACTCTTTACTCCACTACACTTGAAATGAGTGTTGCAGTTACACATTACATTTGGCATGGACTTAGCTTTTTCTGCAGCAGTTTATTTCTGCTACACAAGACGTGATACTGCCTATTACAGGTCACTGAAAGTACTGCATCTTGTGCGTTTTGCCCTTACTCACCCAAACTTGTCAACAAGGCTACTTTATGTGAATGCGAGTTCCTTAGCAAGTATTTGTGAATCAGAGGTGTTTTATATATGAGATGAGGACATGACTGCAGCCGGCAATGAGGCCCAAAAAAGCACATCCACTGCAAGAAGGCTTCAGCTTTTTAATTTTACTTAACATTATTTTATTTATCCATTATACTGAAGATACCTTTTTGAAAGATATTGTTTGTTTGTTTGTTTGTTTCGTAACTTTGAGGTGTTCAGTTTTATTTTGGTTTTAGAAAATAAACGTGATTGCTCTCCTCACAAATCAACTCTTTCTTGTTTTTGTTTCATGCTCTCTGTGCCTTGCCCTGGACTTTTATGTCACTTTCTGTCTTCCGTGGTGTTTGCAGTTTGTAGACCGTTTGTTCATTGGTTCCCTTTGATTAGTCTCCCCAGGTGTGTCTTATCTTGTTAAGCTTAATAGCCCCCTCTGTGTATATATAGCCCTAGTTTTTCTTTAGTTCCTTGTGAGTTGTTGAATGTAATGGTTGTCTGTTTGCCAGTCAGTCTGTTCTTTGTTCCCTTTGGTTTTTGCCTTATTGTTTGTTCTAGTTTTTCAATGAAATACCAGCACATAGATCCTTGCCTCTGCCTGTTTTCCACAGCTTCTCCACAACGTTACAGTTTTTCACTGGCATGTCTCTTTGACTAGTGCAGCGGTGGCGAACTCCAGTCCTGGAGATCCGCAGCCCTGCAGGGTACAGCTCCAACCCTAATTAAAACTCACCTGCCTGTAGCTTTCTAGTAACCCTTCAGACCTTGATTAGCTTGTTCAGGTGTGTTTGATTAGGGTTGACGCAAAACTCTGCAGGGCTGCGGCTCTCCAGGACCGACGTTCGCCACCCCTGGACTAGTGCATCTTTGAGTCTATATTTAGTATAAGTAAAATACTTAAGTACTGTTAAAATCAGATACTCTAAGACTTTTACTCAAGTTATTTTGGAATTGGTGACTTGTAACGTGTAGTGGAGTAATTTTCACTGTAAGGTATCTGTACTTTTACTCAAGTATGGTTTTTAGGTACTCTTTACACCTCTGTCTTTTATCGGCCTGATTAAATAAGCTCTCCAAGAAACAAACCGAACAAGCCCTACAATTATAGCATGCATTATACAGAAAGTCTTGTGCACTTACTTCCTTTTGCATGCATGCGCTGTCAAGTGGCCAAAACTGCAAGTGTGGGTATTTGGACAGGCCCTATGATTTAGGACACCACTTGCTGTCCCTTCAAATAGTGCCCAATTTAAGGGTATGGGGGTGATTTTGGATAATGCCCTGGTTTGTTTCCTTTATAACCTATCATTTACACCTATGTGTCATTTAGTTCCTTGTTTGGTATGTGTGTATAAATACCCCTCTCAATTCTCAGTTGTGTTGTGGGTTTATTTTTATAGTGGTGGTTTTGTGACTGTCTTTGAGATTGTGCTCCTGAATGTTTTGTATATTAAAGCTTTGACTGCTAGAATTTTAATCTCTCCTTCGCCTTCTTGGACCATGTGTGACACTTAAATTCTTATTGCCTTGTAGTTTTAAATAAAAAATTTCCTATCAAACTCACAAATTTTCACAAACAAGCTATTTCTCCGCCTGCACGTGTATTATCTGGAATAATAAACAAAAAAAAAAGTTTTTCTTGGAGTGGGTGGCACTTTCAGTAATTGAGTTTAAAAGTAAAAGGTTAAAAGTATTCCATTTATCTTGAAATCAATAATTAGTGCATGCTTAAAATATGCATGTTTAAATGATCAACAGTCCTATACCTTTAATTAGTGTTCATATTTCAGACAAGGTTTTTTTCCATTAGAAATGCTCTTCTTTCAGATAAAAGGAATCGTTCTGTAAAGTATGCTCCAAATGGAGTATTTATTTAAATTCCTAATTTATGGATTTCCCATTACAAGCTTATTATATCTCAAGTAAAATTAGAGAACTCCATTTTAAAATGATAGAAACCCTTGTAATATATGTTTTTGAGTGGATTCTTTGAGAATGTATATCCTTTGTGCTCCTTTTGTAATAATAAAGAAGAATCAATTTCACATTTGTTTTATCATTGTCCTTACTTTAATCTTTTTGGTCAGAAATTAACACATTGCCATTTCTTAGATTTAACATATTGATGCAGATTACAGAAACTATTATTTTTCTTTCACAGGCGTTCTGAAAGGTGAATCCGTACCAGAGAACAGAAACTACCTCATAACCCAGCCTTAACCCTAATCCTGACAGACCGCTTTGTCGACCAATCATGAACACCTTTCTCCACGCCCCTACCTTTCAGCACGCCCTAATCTTTCAACGCGCAGATTTCTCACGTGACCTCAACTCATTTGACCCATAGACATATCTGACCAACGAGAAAGTTCCTGTTTGCTGTCGTCCCGCCTCCTGTGGTAACTATTTTTATTAACGTGTCCAGTCTAGCGCTTTTATGTTCTTTCATGAATTTACTGTATAATTTGATGAAACGTTGAACAAAGTGAAAAGGAAGTGATGAAACGAAAGGGTTTGGTTTATGACACGCTGGCCACTTCCTACTTTTCTTTTATAGAATTAAGTTGAAAATAAAGTTCACTTATCAGTGTCAGCACGCATTCAAGTGATCATGGGGAAAATTGAGTGGGCGATGTGGGCAAACGAGCAAGCTCTGGCTGCTGGACTCAGTAAGAACACACATACTCTAATTATATCTCGTTTAGTTTTTCAGGTGCTCTAAAACATCTAAACAAGGACTAGGCTAAAGTATTACTTACATTAATGTTTCTCGAATTGTGTCGTGACTACAGATATGTAAAACTCAAAAGAGAAGACCGCAACTACATACATGGGTTTCAAAGTATAAATCTAGCTGCTGTCATTCATGTCGTCATTCAAGCTGTCATTCGAGTGTTTTTTGTTTTTATTGGTTTGTTTTTATTTTGTTTAGAATGTGGGTTAATCTCTTTTATTATCTTTAAAAGCAAGAAGTTGATTTTCACTCTCTGAGCTAAGTTACGTTAAAAATATAAAATAATATTTAAAAATATGTATATTTGACATTTATTTGATTTTTACATTTGAAATATAACATTTAAGTGAATGCAGGCTAGTGTTAATATGAGGAAATGGAAATGAGGAAATGAAATTAACTTCTTTTTTTCCATTTGCAGTTTATGCGACTGGTGGGATTGTCGGGGTGGCTGGTCAGTTCAGAGGCTGGCAGTTTGCATGTTTCGGCATGTATCCTTACAACCTCTACAGGGCTCTTTCCTATAAATGCCTGAGACTCTGTTTGCCCTTTATTTTCATTGTCATTTCCTCATTTGTTCTTCTAGTCTTTTGACTTGTAAAGTACACCTTTTTTTTTTGTAAAGTACCAATGTGTATTTCTAGTGTACTCATTTATATCCTTGACTGTGAAAAGTGCTGCCGGTGTGTTTGTGTGTTTGCTTGAATATCCACGAAGCAAACGGGGCAAAGGCACCAGCGTTGAGAGAACGTGAGTGTTTTATGAAGAGTCAATCTGAACTCATTTGAGACTGTAACTAGTTACAGGAAATACAGGCTGGTGATTTCAACACACTATCAATAATTCTCTGCAAAACATTTTATACTGAGTCATTTGTATAATGAAGACTTCCTTTGTGTGCTTTGAATTATAAACTTCTCATGGAAAGCTTTTCTGTTTGATTTCAGTGGTCAGTACTGCTTCACAGTTTGTGTAAAGGCTGTTGGACCCCTGACCAGAAACTATTACGTCAGAGCATTCTTGCACGCTGCGTAAGTCTGTTATATTTCAGTCAGGTGTTTTCATGCATGTCCTTTCTCTTGTTATATAAGACACCATCTTATGTGTTTCAAATCATGCACACATATGTCTGTCTCTGTGTGTTTTACTTTGCAGGCTGTGTGTTCCTGGAGGGTTCATGTTAGCCACAGTTCTGGGATGTGTGTGTCTAGGAATTGCCAGTTTAATCTATCTTTCAGTAAGTTCATAATCCAATTCAGTGCTCTTTCATCTGAACTCCAGATAAACAACATGACCGAATGAATGTGAATACAAATGTAACTAAAATAAGATAGGACGGCCACTCCTGGGAAGGTTCTCCACTGTTCCATGTTTTTGCCATTTGTGAATAATGGCTCTCACTGTGGTTCGCTGGAGTCCCAAAGCTTTAGAAATGGCTTTATAACCTTTTCCAGACTGATAGATCTCAATTACTTTCATTCTCATTTGTTTCTGAATTTCTTTGGATCTCGGCATGATGTCATGCTTTTGAGGATCTTTTGGTCTACTTCACTTTGTCAGGCAGGTCCTATTTAAGAGATTTCTTGATTGCGAACAGGTGTGGCAGTAATCAGGCCTGGGTGTGGTAGAAAAATTTAACTCGGGTGTGATAAACCACAGTTTTAACAGGGGGGCAAACACTTCTTCACACAGGGCCATGTTGTCACATTCAGGTGTGCCAGGGAACAGGCAGGAAGACGAGGATAAAGGATATCAGAACACTTTAATGATTAGACGAGAGGGTAGGAGCACACGCACAAGGTAACATTCACAATAACTGACCCCACTAGGATACAAGAGACAGGAACTTATAGGGCAGATAATGAGGGGCAGACAGGTGAACACAATGAGGTGATTAACTAATAATGGGAACAGGAACAGCCAAATAAGGACACAGAGGGAGAAACCATAATCAACAGTCCACAGGGGTGTGACACATGTAGTTTTGGATTTTGTTTTCCCTTAATAATAAAAACCTTCGTTTAAAAACGGCATGTTGTGTTCACTTGTGTTATCTTTTACTAATATTTAAATTTGTTTGATGATCTGAAACATTAAAGTGTGACAAGCATGCAAAAAAATAAGAAATCAGGAAGGGGGCCAACACTTTTTCACACCACTGTATATATATTTGTTCATTTGCTTCCTCCTATAAAATCCCCTTTTTCACATTCAAACTGTTACAGAAACAGTTCACCCAAAATAAAAATTGTTATTTACTCACTCGCATGTTGTTTCAAACCTATATGATGTTATTTATTTTGTAGAACACAAATGGAAGTGTTTAGCAAAATGTTCTTAAATGATGAAAATGAAAGGGGAGAGATATTTTCAGCTCTCAAAAATGACGAAAAGCACCGGAATATAAAAAAGCAGTTCATATGCACATTCTTACATTACCCTTTTGTGTTCCACGGAAGAAAGAAAATTTAAGAATGACATAAGTATGAATGATGTAGATGTCGACAGAATTTTGAGTTAACTAAAGTTTTAAAAACATGTCTTCTTTGAACTGACCACTGATGTGCTGACAGATGATGTGAGTGTAATATGATGTAATATCCCACAGTATTTTTGTATAATACTTTATTTCATTTGACTCATGAACTGTCATTTGGAGAAGAACTCTTTGGACAACATCTATTTTTGGATGCATTTGGTTGTGTGGCCTTTGATTTGATACATGATTTTGAACTTTGGCATCACAGGCAGCTATTCACGGAGAACATTGGGAGCCCATACTGCCCCGCAGAGAGCCACCAAAGCGTGTTGGGGATAGCATCAAAGAGCCTCCTCAAAACCCTCCACCTCGGCCTCCTCCTGAACTCCGCCGGAAGAAAGCAGATAAACTAGAGGCTGCTGTGTATGACAATCCCATGTCTGTCACCGTCAGTGAATAAGGATTCCATTGTGAAAACAGTAACCTATTATTCAAGGAGGCTTCAGTAACAAGTAACTGTATTGATATGAAACATTTATGATGAGTTTATACTAACAAACTGCATCAAGACAGAGAGAGAGCTAGCACTGAAAATTTTTATTTTAAGCAGTGCCACAGGCTGATTGTCTCCATGCCACGCCGCACTGATGCAGTAATTCATGCAAAAGGAGCCCCTACCAAGTATTGAGTACATGTACAGTAAATGAACATACTTTCCAGAAGGCCAACAATTCACTAAAAATGTTTTTTTTATTGGTCTTATGAAGTATTCTAATTTGTTGAGATAGTGAATTGGTGGGTTTTTGTTAAATGTGAGCCAAAATCATCACAATTAAAATAACCAAAGACTTAAACTACTTCAGTCTGTGTACATTGAATTTATTTAATACACGAGTTTCACAATTTGAGTTGAATTATTGAAATAAATGAACTTTTCCACGACATTCTAATTTATTGAGATGCACCTGTATTGTGTGTAACTGTTGATCAATTTTAAACATTCCAATTATTATTGCTACTAATAGAGGAGTAATTTTTATCATTATTAATATAATCATAGAAGAAAAAACAAATTTTACTGGATTGCTGTTAAAATGATTACAGTGATTGTGTATATTTACCTCAAGAGAAAATATATAGTTATGTCTTCATTTGTTCTTACAATAAACTCAGGATGTGCTCCATTCAATCATGTGTCATCTATAGAGTTAAAATATTGCCAAGTTTCATTTCCTTTTTTATGTGTCATGTCATCCTGAAATGTCTATATTCATAACTAAAGAAACAAAATCATGTACAATGATCATTATATTATGGCAGAATGTAAAACACGTCATGTTTTCGTAATCCTCCATTTCTCAACAAGGAAGTTAATCTTGCTCAAAGAAAAAATGAAACTCATTGTCTTTTGTGCTCGTTTGATTATGACTGTTTCTTTGATGTCTAATGTTAAATTCACTGTCAAGTACATTGAAGAAATAAGTGCTGTAGGTCAGAAACATCTGATTGTTCCCATCAAACTGACAAAATGCTCTGAAAATCTGTTCTGCTCTATGACATAGGAGCTTTAAAGGTTTTGACATTCTGAGCATGACTGCCCAGTAGCATGTTTAATTGTTCATTTCATTTCATCAAACTTTGACAGATAAAATGTGAAGTTCTTCCATGCTTGGTTACTGTAGGTTAGACACGTATACAATAAGTGTGTGTAACTACTGATGCATATGGACAGTGCTACTTAAAAGACTTGGGCTGAAAATGCTACCGAGTCATTTGTTTTGAACCAGTGATTTGGGGTGCATATCAAACTAGTTAATAGTATTTTATCGGCCTGATTAAATAAGCTCTCCAAGAAACAAACCGATCAAGCCCTACAATTTAATAAAATAGCACACATTATACAGAAACTTCATATTTGTAAATTAGTAAATCATTTTGTAAAGCAATTGGTGCAACTGATTAAAAAAGTTTTTAAAAGCTTTGTTTTTCCCATCTATAGCAACAACTAAGTTAGAGTTCAAAAATCTTAATATCATCAAAAGGGAACTAAGTAGAATTCTACTAGGGATGTTTGTGAACATTGGGTCAGAGAGAACTGCATACCTGTTCTCAGGGTCATAGGTTCCCCGGATATACTGTAGCGCACAGACTTTATAATATGTTGTTAAAGTTTTTAGAGAAGTTGACGTTTAGTGCAGCTGGCTAAGTAAGTGTATATGATAACTGAATCCTTGCATTTTTAGACATACTTTATAGCCTGGGCAACAAGTCAGTTCCTTATGTACCATATAATTCTGTGGACCATAGGACTCTGGAAACATAGGACCCTTTTTTAATGTGTTTCTTATGAGCCTATTTGGGGAACATGCCCTTACGAAAATTAACCATGGTTTTATTGTAGTAAAAGTGTAGTAACCATGGTTTTTTGGCATATTGATTACCATTTGCAAACCACAGTTTTACTACAAATACTATGGTTAAACTATGGTTAATTTGTGGTTACCATGGTTTAGCTATAGTAACCATGTTTTTTTGGTTTAATTTGTAGTAAAACCATGGTTCATTTTCATAAGGGTGGGACCTTGGAAACATAGCAACAATCCCAACTGGATTGCAATTAGACAAACATGCTACCAAGCATTTTAAAGGTGTAATTCACCACTGGCAAGATGTGATTTCTATAAAAGTTGACTGTCTATGCAGTAGAAAGGCATTTTTTAAAGGGGTCATATGATGTTGCTAAAAAGAACATTATTTTGTGTATTTGGTGTAATGAAATGTTTAAGTTTCAAAAAACACATTATTTTCCACATACTGTACAATATTGTTTCTCCTCTATGCCCCGCGTTTCTTTCGCGTAAATTTTCACAAAGCTCATCGTTCTGAAAAGCGAGGTGTGCTCTGATTGGCCGGCTATCCAGTGCGTTGTGATTGGCCGAATACCTCAAGCGTGTGACAGAAATGTTACGCCCCTTACCATATTGTGATGCCTTGTCCCGGCCGGAGCGATGAGACAAAAACATTAAAACCCATTACAAATGAGGCATTTGTTGCATCCAGTGGGGACATAATTACGGATTATAATGACTTATAGTGTCTTTTTACGCGTTGCATTGCATCGTGCCACGTAAACATAAAACCATGTCTGCATTTGTGATCGGAGAAATGACAAACTTCAAATGCTTCTCTACACTGCTCAAAATTCGCGTTTGAAACGTCAGTGGCAAATTCTTTAAATATAAAAACGTACTTACAGTCTGTGAGTCAGAACAGCCGGCATTGTAGTCTACTCTACCAGGATCAGGAAACAGTCCTCCATAAAATGTGCTGCACACATCTGAATATTTGGGTTGAACTGTTCTGGAACAGTGTTGTAAATACAAGTTAACCACTGATTTCTAGTCGTGTCCTCTTTTGGAAGGCCAAACAAAGTACTTTCACAACGAAACACAGCGTCACACATGGCGGGCTAGAGTGAGCGGAGGCCGGAGGCCTAGAGTGAGCAGAGGCGGGCGGCTAGAGTGAGCAGTGGCCGGCGGCCTAGAGTGAGCGGCGGCAGGCAGGCTTGCGGCAACCACATGTGGCGCCCCCGGGCTGGACTCCGCTTCGTCCACGGTGAAAGCCGATCCGAGAATAAAAGTTACACTTTCTTTCTTTGCGTGAACATTTGGGCGGCGTTATGCAAATCTTCCCACATCGTGACGTAGACATGTGGGGGCATGTTAGAACGAGCCGTTTTAGGTAGGCGTGGTTGACTCTAACTTTTATAAAGAATATCTCTTTGGATTTGAGACTTTAGTCTTTGCAGCTTTACAGATCTTCTTTATGCACCAAGAGCTTATAACACTCCAAAGAGAAAGGAAAAATTGAAATCGCATCATATGACCCCTTTAAAAATAGGTGATACACAACTAGAGAAAACAAAGAAATGGCTGTGATGAGAAAAGGGAAGAAACGCCCATAATGTACTGGGCTTGATCAAACTATAGTCATAATAATAAATACATTGGCCCTGTTCCAAATAGCATATTTCATGTGTATTTGTGGTCTTACAATGCCTGGCGTGTGATTTTAGCTTTTAGAAGGGTGCTCGCAAGCATCCCTATTGCAGCTGTTGTGTGCCCTCGATGCTCACTTCTGCTGAGCCTGCACTGAGATGAGCTCTGCAGCAGATGTCTACCTGACAGTCAAAGTGGCATTGCATCATGAAAGCGTGGACTCAAGGGAAGGGTGCTTTTCAAACCGAAGGACACATCCTAGTAAGGCTGCATATCTTAGAACAGGGGTGCCCAGTCCTGTTCCTGGAGATCTACCTTCCTGCAAGGTTCAGATCCAACCTTAATCAAACACAACTGAACCAAATAATTAAGTTCTTTAGCAGCACTTGAATTACAGACAGGTGTGTTTGATCAGGGTTGGAAATTAACTCTACAGGTAGATCTCCAGGAACAGGATTGGCACCCCTGCCTTAGAAGGCCTGCAGGAAAGACTGTTTGAGAAGCACCTGAAGACCCGAGGGTTATGGGTGACATTCAACAATGAACTGATTTCCACCGAATAATGTCTGTAACCTGGAAATTACCTTTTCTTTTTTCAGCCCCAATATTTTAGTTTTTATTGTGCTTTAGGTGAGAACACAGTTCATTCCCTTTGAAATACTGGGAAACATTGAAATAATACATATTTAGGTTCTGATAATTGACCATTAACTCAGCTAATACAAATCAAATAGTGACACACCGGCAGTCTGCTTTTTATTTTTTATAGAACTAAACAGATACATATATGTACTTCAAATCAAACATTAATACATGTAACACTGTGAATCTTTTTAAACTTTTGTTTCGCTTTTATTTTGAATGCTTCTTTATGAAGTTTGATATGCTGAATACAAAAATCACATTACTTTTTGTGTATCATTAACAGTGCTCTTGAAAACTAAAACAAATATGTTGACAAATTATACAAGATAATCTGTTATTACTCATGCATAGAAATGACGGTACATAGTATAAATGTTAAAATAAATTAGTCCATAATATGATATATAAAATAGTGTGTAATTAATAGTACAATAATAGGTCATATAATAATAATAATAATAATATATTTAAAGTAGCAAATAGCCTAATAATAATAATAATAATAATAATAATAATAATAATAATAATAATAGCAAATAGAATGTACTGTGACATTGCAAGCACCATGCTCTAAGGCTGATATATACACAAGGGCTCTGTCCACATGGCTACCAAATCAAGTAGCCATGGCCAGGCTTCTTCTGCTGCTAAAATTCAAACAAAAAATTCTAGAAATTACTCCAAGCTTGTTTCTCTGGCGCATAAGGACTTGAGAAGCTAAACATTCTTTATCATGCAGAGGGCTCAAAAAGCCGCATCATCCATCTCTCAATTGTGCCTTAATATGTATGTACTGTTGTTTAAATGTATTTCTATTGTGAAATTATTAAGAAAAATGTTTCGAATTTCATTTAGTCCATTCTCTCATATTCCCATACAGAAGCGCTCAAAAAGAGAAATTATAATGTACAATATTTTTTGAACAACCTCCTTAGTCAATTAAAAGAAACAAGAAGAAGAAGAAGAAGAAGAAAACTAATGCGTCCAAAATCGCATACTACTTGAGTAGGTACTATATTTGAATTTGAACGTACTTCCCGACCGTTAAAAAAGTATGTTCTATATAGAATGAATGTGGGTAGTATGAATGGAATTCGGACCTACTACCAAAGCCACTAGAAGGCAAGCCTGCAACCATTAGCCGAAAAAGCGTAATGGCTAAAGCTAACGCTTCCGGTCTGGCAGTACGTGGGAAAGGAGACCAGAGGCTGTTTTTTTTTTTGAATGGATGTCAATGTAGGAGAGGCTTCACTATGCTGAATAAACAGCTTTTTAGAGGAAACAGTTTATCATTTAATGAATCGACAGCTTATCTGCTAATCTTCAACATGTTTTACACTAAACAATACTTTTGGATTTAACTATTTTTAGAGTTTACCATGAAAAAAAATGCCGTTTTATAAGAGAAGTCACTGACTCTTTGCGACACATGGGATTCAGCTTACGGCACTCCTCATTCATTCCTATGGTATCCGTAATCGACGATTGAGTGTCGCACAACTCTTACTGAAATTCAATGACGTCAAGGCTGTAATATGCTTGGCTATTAAGGCACACGTGATCCAAGTTAGCCGTTAAGCTTTCTCCAGTAGTAAGTATTACAGACCCGCTCATCTCCCTATATTAAGACAATGGGTGCATCTCAATCAGCTCCCTTGTCCAGTAGTCAGGGCACTGATCAGAAAAAAATAATATAAAAATGAGATTGGTCCTGCCTGTTGTTTTTTAATTCCAGTGATGACGTTCTACTATGTTGTCCGTTGACGCTGTACATAATCATGTCCCTGGAATTTGAGTGATCACTGTCCCAACCTGCAGTGAGTTAAGCCCCGTTCAGACTACACGATTTTAGCCCAATTTTTGAAATTTTACAATGGAGGAAATGTTCATGGAGCTACAGCATTACACCAAATTCTGTGACCCTAGTAGGCGTTGTTGTCACTGTTTGGCTCGATCACATAGGCGGATTAGGTACGCAAACAACGTAACTTCAAACATAGGTGAGATCTGTGACTACAGGTTCATAAAATGTTCGCACGAACTCGCTTGGCGCCCGTGCACATTGTATGAGCGCATCAATACAGTCTGGTCGCGTCAATTCACTCTGTTAATGTGTAACCTCCTCTATTTTATAGCCTATCCAGGAAAGAATTTTGGTCTAATATGAACAGTACAGCTGTTACATTAAATACTTTCAAATTTAGAAAAATCTACTTTTTTTCAAAAGAAAATTTTCCCTCTGCTTATGTTTTAGCCTTAAGATGGATACTATTAGAGATAAAATTGTAACCATGCAGCCGTCAGCTATAGTATCGCATCAGATGGCTTGCTATAGATCGCCTGAGGAACAATTCCACACATTCTCTACTATAGGAGAGGAAGAATTGTATAAACTTGTTAAATCATCTAAACCAACAACATGTATGTTAGACCCTATTCCATCTAAGCTCCTAACAGAGGTGCTTCCAGAAGTCATAGATCCTCTTCTGACTATTATTATTTCATCATTGTCAATTAGGATATGTCCCCAAAACCTTCAAACTGGCTGTTATTAAGCCTCTCATCAAAAAACCACAACTTGACCCCAAAGAACTAGTTAATTACAGACCAATCTCAAATCTTCCTTTTCTGTCCAAGATACTAGAAAAGGTAGTATCCTCACAATTATATTCCTTATGCTGATGATATTTAGCCTTATATTTCTTCGCAGCCCGGCGAAACATACCAATTTGAAAAACTTGCGGAATGCATAGTCGATATAAAAAACTGGATGATGAGTAATTTCTTACTGCTAAATTCTGTTGTTCTGCACGCTTAATAAACACAATTCCAAAATGCAGCAGCTAGAGTTCTTACTAGAACTAGGAAGTATGACCATATTAGCCCAGTTCTGTCAACACTTCACTGGCTACCTATTAAACATCGTATAGATTTTTAAATCTTGCTTATTACTTATAAAGCCCTGAATGGTTTAGCACCTCAGTATTTGAACGAGCGCTTGTTTCATTATAGTCCTCCACGTCCGCTGCGTTCTCAAAACTCTGGCCATTTGATAATACCTAGAATATCAAAATCAACTGCGGGCACCCGATTCTTCTCCTTTTTAGCGCCCAAACTCTGGAATAACCTACCTAACATTCTTCGGGAGGCAGACACACTCTGTCAGTTTAAATCTAGATTAAAGACCCATCTCTTTAACCTGGCTTACACATAACACACTAATCTACTAGAGTCTAGTAGAGAATATTAGAGTCTTCTAATATTAGAGTCTTCTAATATTCAAAGGCTGCATTAATTAGGTCAACTGGAACCGGGAACACCTCTCATAACACCCGATGTACTTGCTACATCGTTAGAAGAATGGCATCTACGCTAATATTAGTCTGTTTCTCTCTTATTCCAAGGTCACTATGTGGGGGCGTGTTAGAACGAGCCGTTTTAGGGGGGCGTGGCAGAGTCTTAACTTTGATAAAGAATATCTCTTTGGTTTTGAGACTTTAGTCTTTGCAACTTCAGGGATCTTATCTATTCACAATCAGCTTGTAACACGCCAAAGAGAAAGGAAAACTTGAAATCACATCATATGACCCCTTTAAACTGAACTGAGCTGGATGGTGACATCACTGAATTCAATGATGAACTGCCTTTAACTGAAAAATTAGTGTTTACTATTGTCATTTTGCATTATTGACACACTATTTTCCTAATTAATGCTGTTCAGTTGCTTTGACACAATCTGATGCGTTAAAAGCGCTATATAAATAAAGGTGACTTGACTTGACTTAACAGCAAATTAATGTGAAATACTGAGGTAAAGTGCATTAGGCAACACCACTGTTTCAGTGGAGATTTTAAACAGTATGTGGTGGGATGACCTTTAGAGGTCAGTAGTAAACAGGCGAAAGGGGCCATGAAGTGACTTTAATCAACAGGCACATTTTTATTCAGACAGGTCAAAAGTATTAAAACACCACATCACCAATCTTTGATGCAAATACCCACATCAGAAAAAAATGAAAATAAAAATAAATAAGATACAACAAAAAGAAAACCAACTATAGATGGCCACAGGTTACCTAGAAAGTGAAGACAGAAGTGGCACAAGAGCAAAAGTGTCCTCACAGCAGTCAAGCTCACAGCAATCACACTGCAAACCTACAGGAAAAACAAAGATAAAGTGATCAAACCACCACACAATCCCAGCTACCTCACCACCGCCATCCACACAGTGAGGGCAACTCAGTGGCCACCATTGGCTTAAGAAACCAAAACTGAACCTACAAAAGAAAAGAATAAACAACTTAATTAACAGTAGGCAATGCAGGTGACACAAACACAAGTCAGCATTGTAACACAGTCACTATTAATCCAGTTTCTTTGGGGCCTAATCTCTCCTCTGACACTCTGGGTCCCAAATTCACAGAACAAAATAAATAAAAAACAATAACAAAAGTATTAAATCTAAAGTAAACGGTAACCGTGCATCCCTTTAACATCCACTATTTTCGACTGGGACAGTCAGGCAACCATCAGTCATGCAATAATCCAGCCACAACACTCCTTAATCGGTGCATCATATGTTCAGTTCATGCCGAAGCTCCGGGATTATTTAACGTAACTGCTTATCTGCTGCCATTCTTTTGAAGTGCTATATCATTCTTTTCAACTTCTAAATCCGCCACGACATCCCCGAAATCAAAAGCGGAAGCGAAAGAGCAAACAAACTTCACTACTTCCTTATATAACGCTGGGGCTGCTGGGACTTGTAGTGCCCAAATCATGGTCCCATTACAAGTATGTTCTAGTACTTCTTTTGTTTGTTATTTTCAGATTCCTAGTCTGGCTGTAGTCTGCAACGTCGGAGGTGCATTTTGGATCCTCTTCTTGTGAATGCCATAGTATCGATGATAACATCAATTGGTAAGTTAATAATGTCAGTTAGCCGAAGTTAACTAGCTTAGTTGAACGAAGAGAAGCATAGTAAGTTCTCTTCTCTCCTTTGCCTCTTTATCGCAAGTAAGGTAATTCTCTTCAAATGCTATTTAAGTCAGAAAGTGTGTACCAATGTCGTATGTAACTTTAGAGATGGTCCCTAAATTCATTGACAGATGTTAACTTTAACATAAAACAGCGAGCTAACAACCTACTGAGGAAAACTGAGCTAAGAAACACCATTATTAAGAACATCTCTTGTATTTTATTTTCAAGTTTGAGGTCATGTCGTCTGCATCGGAGGTGTATTGGAGTCTTTTCTTGTGATTGCCATCGTAGCAGTGCTAACAACAGGTGAGCTTCCATCAACTTAACTAATGCTAATGTTATTAAATTAGCCAAATTAGCCTCTAGCTGCTGTTCTCCACTAACTCACAGAACAGGTTGACTTTTTAAAGAGAGGAACATGCTAGCACATGTTGAATAAACATGAGCACTGCACGTTTCAAAATCGAAACCCAGTGCGGGTGTTTTTATATCACTGTATTTCTGAAGGAAACCGACTGTCTTCGGAAAATTTTGGATGTCATTTTCATTTCTTCTTGCATGTAATGTCTGATAAAGCAGCATTTGTGAGCGGAGCACTGCTTTGTGTACAGCCGTTACCGGGGAAACCTTGATCTCTATCACTCCAACAGCGCCTTCTGCTGGCAGAGAATGAATTTGCATATATATGCCACCACAAATCGAGTGCAAGTCTGTGGGAAACACTGTAATATTATTTATGCAATTTGTAAGTGCAAATTTTAATGAATTATACTTGTCTCTTTAAAAATAAAAAATTAAGCCCCTTAGCTAATGTCACTTTTCAGCATAGCCTATTTTATTTTAAGTGAATCCCGTGTATTCTGATACATGCATTAATGTTTCTGGGCTAAGCCCCGGATATCCACTCACTGTAGAACTGCCCCTAGAATCAAACCCATTATTTCAGCACGTTGCTCTACTGATTGAGAATGCATTGTAAAAAAAATGGAGCATTAATAATTTGAATATGATGGATTATCAACTAATTATGTACCTTCCTTGTAGATGCGTTCAGATGTAGTATATAACATTTTTATTAACGTCAAAGTGCATACAGCACCAACAAGTTTGACAGTTGAGGCAAATTCTGGAAACACTGCTTTGAAAAATAATGTTTTTTTCCTGTGCTTGCAGGTTCATTCAGACAGTCAACATTTGTGGCACCAAATGCATTGAGTCACAGATCAGCTGGAATTTTGGAAAGAGGGTGCAGCCTGAATCCCATCCTGCTGTTTCTCATCTGAGAGCTTGTCAACTTTTACTGTCAAAATGACTGAAATTTAACACAACACCACAAATTCATTTTTACTGTATTTTATTTACACTACCAGTCAAAAGTTATTGAACAGTAAGATTTTTAATGTTTCTTAAAGAAGTCTCTTCTGCTCACCAAGACTGCATTTATTTGATCCAAAGTACAGCAAAAACAGTACAATTTTGAAATACTTTTACTATTTAAAATAACTGTTTTGTATTTGAATAGATTTTAATATGGAATTTATTCCTGTGATCAAAGCTGAATTTTTAGCATCATTACTCCAGTCTTCAGTGTCACATAATCGTTCAGAAATCATTAAGTGATAAGAAGTGATAGTGATAAGAAAAATTAAACAACAAGGATATTGGTCTCCTTATTTATATGCAATGGTGGATGAATTGTTGTCCACATGTGAAGTTTGTGCCAAATACAATGTAAGGAAAGGGATAGCGACACCAATAGGCCATATACCAGTACCAGAAGGGCCTTTAAGCATTTGGTAATAGACTATGTGGATAAGATAAAGTGAGTAGAAGGGAAAAGATACATGCTTGTGATCATAGACAGATTTAGCAGGTGGGTGAAAGCAGTACCATCAGCAGATCTGGGAGCAGGAACAGTAATTAATTTATAACAAGAGAACTAATTCCAAGATTTGGAATACCATCAGAAATAAGTTCAGATAATGGGTCGGCATTTATACTAAAAATTGTAAAACAAGTATTGCAACAATTAAGAATATAACAGGCACAAGGGTGCGTCAAAATTAACAAAATATGTGAAAGTACTAAATGTCGCATCTGGACCACTCAAACACACAATATATATTTTGTTAGCTAGATTTAACAAATACTCTGTAACACCCCAGGAAGCCAAACAGGCCCCTGGTTCCATGGTAACCCTGACACCCAATACATTTACGACCTCCTGGAATTTAGGTGAAGAAAATCGCTTCCATGCCCATAGGCAAAATCCACAAGGGAAGGACTTTTCTTTGCTAATTAATTAATAGGAAAACCTTTCTTTGAATGAACACACATGATCCTTCAGGTCATTGGGTATATTATTGTCATCGTGTATTTTGTCTTTGAAATTGTATACTGTTATGCAGGCTTATAATCGAAACACACTCCTGTCAGCTTACATATATGTAACTCTACCATGTTTAGTACCTATGAATTCGTATTCAGATGATCTAATTGAGAGTGTATATTGTATGTTTACACCTACGCAACATATTAGTGTTCTAAGAGTCTTTAATAATTGTGGTTCATTGTTTGCTTATAACTGGAGTCACTTCATCATGCAGATTTATGCTACAAGCTTTTGTAGAATTGTACAGTAAGGAAGTTATTTCCCTTAACCAGGAAATTAACGTTCTTAGAATTGACAAGACAGTTGACCCTGAGAGGTCAGCTAAATATCTACAGCGGATCTAAAATATTCATAATTAATTATAACTAGTTATGGTTAATTATTCATATTTCCCATGAGCTGATTCGTTACATAAACTTAATTGGATTGATGCATTACCTCTTGTACTAATGAGCTATAGCATGCAAACTAACAGGAGCACGCACTTAACACTGCATGAAATGCTTACGGGTCGACCCATGCTGTGCTATATGGTAGAGGAAAAGAAAAAAGGTAAAAAGAAAAAAAACATAAAAAGATGAACAACATTAATTAAACAGTGCCAGAGGATATAACAAAAAAGAATAATACTAAATAAATAAAAAATAAAGGTCTCACTTTATACAATAGAATACCTCCTTACAATATTATGAGTTCTAATAGCCTTTTTACTTGTGCAACTGGCTCTCTCAGTCTTGCACGGATGTGACTTTTAAAAGATGCAAGGGTGCAGAAGAAGCCAATCTGCTTCTCCAGTCAATTATGAGCAGGGATCTGGAGTAACGGAGAGAGAGCAACTGGACAGAGAGAAGAGAGACAATGCACACAAACCACAATTTAACACCATAACTTTTAAACAGAAATGAAAGTACACATTTTAAAATTAAAAGTCTTAGAAAATGAATAAATAAAATAAATAAATGCCAATTCAATATTGTAAAAGCTGTACTGTTCATATTAAAACTTTTAAAAGTTTTTAATGTATTTATTTATTTATTTTGAAAGTACACAGTACATTTGGAGAACATCAAAGTCTTTCTGTGTGAAAGAATTTCCCCTTAGGCTAGCTAGCTAGCTAGCTAGATATCAATGGAACATCAAAGCCGAGAAACGTAATCATGGTAACTAGAGAACGCAATAACACTCAGAGACCTGCTTAATAACCTTGTTTGTTGATGTAAAGAAAGCTGTTTTGAACAGTTCATTCGGTGCATGCGACCAGACTGTATTGACGCACTCATACAATGTGCACGGGTCACAGTCACAGATCTCACCTATGTTTAAAGTTACGCTGTTTGCATACCCAATCCGCCTATGTGATTGAGTTCAAGACAAACAGTGGCTAAGTTTACATGTAACCAAATAATCCATTTGTAATTGGATTGATGGCTCAATCGGACTGAAAAGCCTTCATGTAAGCACCTTAATCCAGTGGTCTGAAACTCAAATTGGCTAGGGGCCATTGCTGTGATTGACACCTCATAGGAAGGCCATTTTAACATTCAAGCACAACAAGAAAGCGGAAAATTTGATGCTTTTTTAAAGATCATTATTTTGTGTATTTGGTGTAACAGAATATGTTGACATGCTTTAATGTTCAAAAAACACATTATTTTTCAAATACTGTACATTATTGTAGGTCCTCTATGCCCCGCCTCTCTCAAATGCTTTGTTTTTTACAAAGTCCCTCCTTCCGACAACGCAGTCTGCTCTGATTGGCCAGCTGACCCAGTGCATTGTGATTGGCCGAACACCGCAAGCACTCGTCGGAAATGTAATGCCCCTTACCATAATCGCAAGCTTCATCTTTCAAAATAAATGTAAAGACAGAGCCCGAAAGGGGAACAGAGTCGTGTGACAGACACAGTGATGAAGCTGGTATGTGTTTGCAGCACACAAGCCATGGTTAAGACAGCTGACTCCACTGTGATGTGACCCTGTCTCTCTCTCTCTCTCTCTCACGCACACACACACACACACACACACACACACACACGATGTCTCTCTCTCTCTCGCTCGCTCGCTCACACACACAACACACAATGTCTCTCTCTTTCTCTCACACACGCACGATGTCTCTCTCTCTCTCTCTCACACGCACACACACACACACACACACGTCTCTCTCTCTCTCTCTCTCTCTCTCTCGCGTACGCACACAAACACACACACACACACACAATGTGCAAACCTCCGCATTTGAACAGTCAATAGCAAATACTTAAACTAATAACAAAACAGTAGCTGATTCAGAAGCGCCAGTTCCATTTGCAATAAACTTGGGACACTCTCCACATCAGCCGAGAAGGGGTCTGCAAACAGCTGGAAAGTGTCACGATGTGCCTTGAAGTCAGCAAAACGCTGATCAAATTCCTGCAGTAGGTTTTCAATAGCAGAGGCATATTCATCACCATTGATTGCTGTGCCCTCCTCCACAAGAGATCTGCATGTTGTGAAATGACTGAGGTTTTTTGCAGAAAGCTGAGTTTTCCACAATCTTAGTTTTGTGAAGAATGCTTTCACACTTTCATAGGCTGCTGTGATGAGCTGACCTGGGCCCTGGAGCTTCAGGTTAAGGACGTTCAGCTCCTGCGTTATGTCAACTAAGAATGCAAGATCCATGACTTATTTAGGATCATAAAATTCAGGAACATCCATTCTGCCATCTTCCATGAATCTCTTCACCTCTACTCTTAACTCAAAGAATCTCTTCAGGACATTCCCCCTGCTGAGCCAG